CGCTTCATCCAAAGCCGGCTAGTCGCCTCGTCTCGGCCGCAGATGGCCGACGACTTGCCGACGGCCACCATGGAGACCAACGTGATCGTGTTTTTCGTCAACGGGAAGAAGGTGAGTCCGCTGCCAGACGATGCTTTGGGTCGGGCGCCGACGGGCATCGCGCCGGGGGCTGACTGCTGGAGCCGGCAAAGACTGCAGTTTGCATAAGACACGTTGGCGTCCAATAAATTGGAACAACGCGGCCCCGGTTTAGCCTGCCATGTGCCTTAGTACAGTGCGCGCCAAAAGTGACCACCTGCCGCCCCGTCCACCTGCGCTGTCTCCAGAGACCGCCGCGGTCTCCACCCGGAGACTGATTACACAAAAGACCCGTCCAGCATCTAGCTGGATTTCCTTTTGTTGTTTGTGGAATTCCCCCCCCCCCTCTCTCTCTCTTTCTCTCTTCATCAAAGTCCTAAACTGATTACAGGTCGTGGACAGCAATGTGGATCCTGAGTGGACTCTTCTTTACTATCTCCGGAATAAGCGTAAGTCAAAAGTTGTTTTCCCAATGATAAGTATATTTGTGCACCGTCTGTTCGCCGAGTCGCAATAGAGTGATACGTCGCTACTGCTTGTTTAGCAACCAAAACAGGTCAAGGACCTCACTCCACGCCGTTTCTATTTGTATTTCCTTCTCTCTCGCATGTTGCGTTTTATTGCTCGTCTCTAATTTTGCGAGTCGCTGGCTGGACCCGGGCCGCCGGGCCGCGTCCATGGTCAAGGACAAGCTGCGAGCCTGAGGGGGGCCCCGGAGGCCCCGGCGGCCCTGGAAGGCCCCAAGGGCCCGGAGGCGACGGAGCAGGTCCCCTCCCGTCTCAGGGTCCTGGCATGTTGGGTCTGGACCCGGTCTGGAGGGAGCCTCGCTATCGGCCCCACACGCCCAGGCACAGCCGCATAAGTGGCTCGATTACGTAACGGAGCTTCCTCGTCGCGGCCCGCGTCCAGCAGCGGCAGCGCCACTTGATTCGGTCCACTCCACTCCACTCCCCGCCCGCGACGGGACGGCGTCGCTGGATAACAAACACATGACATTCTCCCGCTCTGATTGCAGTTCGGCTGTGCGGCACCAAGCTGGGATGCGCCGAGGGTGGCTGCGGCGCCTGCACCGTCATGGTGTCCAGGCTGGAGCGCAGCACGGGGCAGATACGGTATCCTTTGGTGGCAAGGGCGGGGCGGGGGAAAGGGGGGAGGGCGTCGACGGGGTGAAGCAGTAGCGGAGCCAGAGGGGTGAGAGCATCCCACGGGTGCTTCGGCGGGTAGGCAACACACCATGCTTTCGGCCTGTAAGTATAGGCACACGGCGCAGGACGTAGTATGCTCCTTAACACCATCCCCCCAGGCACCTGGCGGTGAACGCGTGCCTGGCCCCGGTGTGCGCCATGCACGGCCTGGCCGTCACCACGGTCGAGGGCATCGGCTCGACGCGCACCCGGCTGCACCCCGTGCAGGAGCGCATCGCCAAGGCGCACGGCTCGCAGTGCGGCTTCTGCACGCCGGGCATCGTCATGTCCATGTACGCGCTGCTGCGCACCCTGCCCAAGCCCAACATGCACGACCTGGAGATGGCCCTGCAAGGTGAGACTCTGTACCCCCTGATCTGAGTTGGGGTTTTTCATTGACTTCTGTTGTCATCCTGATCCTGTCCGGTTATTACTTTGTCGCGTTTTGGGGGCGGTTCTGTTTGGCGCGAGTCCAGGCAACCGCGGCGCTCGCAAGGGCACCTCTTTCTGGCCCGGACGAGTTTCCTTGACCCGACATATGACCAGAGTAAACACACCTGACCACGGTCGGGCGCGACAGATGCTGTGCCGGGTGATTCAGAGAGGACGCAGGCGCGGGCGGGTTTGCCACCCAAGGGGCCGCCATATGGCGCCTTAGGGGCAGAGCGAGTAGGCAAATCCGCCCGCACCCGCGTCTTTTCTGAATCACCCGGTTCAGATTGAGTGACCGTCGATCTGCTTGACTCTTGCAGGCAACTTGTGTCGCTGCACGGGATACCGCCCCATTCTCGAGGGCTTCCGGACCTTCACCGAGGAGTACGAGGCGCTGCAGACTGCCAGCCGCACACAGGGACTGCCGAACGGCGACCTCGGCAACGGGCCGAGGAACGGCGGCTGCCCCATGGGAGACCAGTGCTGCAAGGTGGGCGGCGGGGGCTGCTCAGGCGGCGCCAACGGAGAAGTCAACGGCCTAACCAACGGCCTGGACAACGGCGAGCACAAAGTCAACGGAGGAGGTGATTGCGACTACAAAGTCAGCGGGAGTGTCATCGGCGACCACAAAGTCAACGGAAGCGTCAACGGCGACACGTGCGGAACGGAGCGTGTCAACGGCGTTCCCGTGCTCCCCGATCAGAGAGGCGTTCACGCCCTCGGCGCACTGAAGAAGACCTCTTCCGATGACAAGTGCTACAGTGCGGAGACCTTTACCCCCTATGACCCGTCACAAGAGGCCATTTTCCCACCCGAGCTAAAGGTAAGTTCTCACCTGTTACCACGATTAAAAAAACCGCCGTCGGACTAGGGAGGGGGGAGGGGCATCTAGGAAGTACAGCATTTGCCGTTACCCGTTACGAACCTGCCAAGTTTGGCCTCCGGACGCGCTCACGGCGCCTAGTAGGTAGGCATTATCTTGCCTACAATGCATCCGTGTACTGCGCGGTGGCCTACGCCGAGTTTTGCAGGCGCCGAGCTCCCGTAATTCCCGAATAAATCCAAGAGAAATGGACGTACCTTCTGGTGGTGTCAAATTCGCATTGTCTGCTTTCATGATCAGTTCCTCGACGGAACTTTTCAAAGTACGTTTTACTGTAACTGCGTACAGGCGAACGATTGGATGCGCCTACGATCGAATCGTGGCCGCAGTCAGTGGGCAACCCGTCCATCCGCATGCATGGTATCACTACAAAATCCGACGAGGCACTATCTCGAAGAAGCTTAGGGTAATGATTACGTAGCTAAGCTGCATCGGGATTAAGGTTGCGGCTCTTATCGGGCATAACAAAGCACGAGTTGAATAGGTAAGAAATGCGTCGGAGGCAGGATCCCAGCGGATGTGCGTCGTTGAGGTCGGTCCGGGTTAAATACCCGTGACTGACCCTAACCGCTTACCAGTTAGGAGTAGTTGAGGCATGAATCTTTTCGTCGTTCCAAGCTTATTCTATACCCGGCAGCCAGATAAAAAAACAAAAAAACAAAAAAAAAAACAAAAAAAAACGGGATGATGACGGAGGATAGAAGAATTCCTCACGGCATCTGGTAGGTGAGTTCGCATGTCACTTCTCTTTTTGTTCCGTGGCTATAGAGTTCGGGAAACTTAGCGGTGGCTCGATTGGGTAAAATGTTCTGATTCTGCTCTTTCTCTTCCTCGAAAATATTTGAACCAGATAGTCTCGTTTTCTTTTTGCCCGTGAGAGATTACGTGTCTGTTGAAGCAGCGTGTTGGGTCGGATCGGATTGGATCGGATTGCGTATGCGTAGTGCAGCCTTTGATACACTGCCTCCAATGCCATTGGCGGGCCGCCAGAAGACTGCATATAATATTCTTTTCCTCCTCTGCCTCGCGCCACGTCGCCGGGTTCGCAGAACCTTAGGGGTCGTTTCCATACATCGTGATCTTTTCGGATTTGGAGGAGAGGGGAATTTGGGGAATTCAAATATTACGGGGTCCGAAGGATGGCCATCATTGGAGTCCATAGGGACCTCATGATATTTGTACCTAGGGGGTAACGGTGGGCAACCCAAATTAATGCATACCCATCAGATGGTTAGTGACACCTGTCCCGACATTCTCTGTTTTTTTTTGTTTTTTTTTTCGCAGAAGAGCGCACTGCTGGACGAGCAGGCGTTACGCGTGGTGGGGCCGCGCGTCACCTGGCTGCGGCCCACGAGTCTGGAGCAGCTGCTGCACCTCAAGGAGCAGCACCCGCAGGCACGCATCATCACAGGCAACACGGAAGTCGGTGAGCAGACGAGCAGAGTCGAGCGCGCCGCGGGCTTAAAACCTGGTCCTGGGCCGGCTGTGTTTTCTTCTTTTTTCGCGGTTTTGCTCGGTTGCGAGCGGGGGGGGCAATCAGAGCAGGGGCGGCATAGGGCAGAGGCCACGAGGGACTCGGGTTACCCGTGCGGCTGACAGGATCGCCAGGACCACCAGGAACGCCAGGCGAAGGCTGCCTGCCTTACGGCCATAGTCAGGCACCCGCGACACTGAGAGGCCCTACCCGAACTGCTGCGTGTTGGGGTTGGGGCTGTAGGGTAGGGTACTCATGGGTCGGACTACATAAACCTGCGCCAGCCACAAAGCCA